GAGCTAACCCAGTGGCTGGCTACCCCCAATTCAGGGCCCCCCAGAATTTAAACCTACATAGAAATTTATACACCAGCCCGATTCTATACCCCTGTTTAGTGTACACACTTGAATCTAAGGTAAAGGTTTTTATTTTTCAAACTTTTTTTTCTCTCAGGTGAAAAAAAAAAATTGCATTTAAGTCTTTTTACAATCTCATATCATAGGGCACTGCTTCAAGGATTTTATTTTAAAACTGAAGTATTGTTTGGGGAAGACACATTCATTTGACATGCTCGCAGTCAACGTTTTGGATGCCTGTTAGTGAGAAAGGTATCGAGCACATTTCTCATAATTTTTTAAATGATCTCACAGTCGTCAGTGCTGGGAGTTGTCATAAATAAGTCTTTCAAGATGATTATGCCATGGAGAGCAATGTACGCTTAAGGAGGGTTTTTAAATATTTTGAAAATGGTGTACTTTCCGAGGACAGCATCGAAAGCAGACTCAGACAGGGCTGGGTCTCAATGGCCCGAAGTGAAGAAGGAGCAATGCTAAGGATGAATGGAGAGAACTGGAATATAATGACTTCATGAAATGTGAATGGACTAACTAACCAATACTTCTAAGTGAGTCATTTACAAATCAGGTGACTTTAAATATGTTTGCTGACCAGGCAGCTCAGTTGGTTAGAGCACTGGCCTATGCGCCAAGGTTGTGGGTTGGATCCCCAGTCAGGTCACGTGCAAGAAGCAACAATGAATGCATAAATAAGTGAAACAACAAATCAATGATTCTCTCTCTCTAAAATCGATCGAAAAAAATTTTTTTAAAAAGTCTAACTAATTTAGTCAATTAAATATAAATATATAAATGTGACCATCTATATTGCTAAATATTTTCATAATTAAATTGGCTAAAATGTTTTCTTTTCTTTTTTGGGGGGGGATGAGCGAGGATATCTAACTATTAAGAAGTGAAAGACCATCTTACATGGGGTCATCTTCTGTAACAGAAGCTGAATCTGTATGTGATAAGCTCTGGTGGTTGACGAAAGGCAAGGACAGGACATGCTGTAAAATCCAGTCTTGAAAGTGCAATCGGGTTTGTCTTCTTTGTCAGGCTCTTCATCATTTGTTTCATTGGGTAAAACTGAGGGTTCATCCCAACCCAAGCAGAAGGCTCCTCATCATCTTTCTCGAGCTCATTCAAGAGATTCAAAAATTTCACCACTTAAAACTCAGAAGGCAATGTACTGACATTTGGTCCTGGCAGGACAGTGTGTTATCTAACAATGATATTGAACACACAGGGAGTGCTCACGAGGCACTGTGCAAAGTACTTTACGTGTAATGATCACAACGATTTATTATCCATATCTTAGAGATGAGGACTCTAAGTAACAGATGCGGTGGCTGCTAAGTCTTACCTCTGGTAAAAGGCAGAGCCGGGATTTGAACCCAGGCAGTCTTACTCCAGAGCCCACACTCATATGCATGTCACTACACCACTTAAACGATTTAAATTACAGAATCTAAAGGAGTATAAATCTTCCCACAGGGCCTTTCCACTATCCATAGCACCTCTTTTGCAGCACCAGGCCATGGGAGAAACCACATTAGTGATCTATAAAAATCTTGGCTTCTAAGCACCATCCTAGCACAATTGCTTCAAAACTTACCTACGGCTGAATTCTAGTCCTTGTCTTCATATATTCATATTTTTATATCTGAATACCACTTGTTACTCCTACATTTTGGAAACTCTTAACTCTGTCTTAATTCTCCTCTCTCCTCAATGCTCGTGCCTCCTGAGTCCCCTTCACTGTTCTCCCATCCTCTTGTAGAGCGCTTGGTTTCGTCACCTCTGTGCCCCGGGCAGCCTCATCCATCACCGAGGCTTTGCTTTCCACCTTTGGGCTCCCAACTTTCTATTTCAAACTTTTCTTCTGAACTTTGAAATCATAGTTCCAGCTGCGAGCCAGGGCAGTTGGCATCTCTCCTTTCATCTCAAATTCAACAGGCCCCCACGGTAACTCAATGGCTCCTCTTCACGGCCCAGCCAGGCTCCCAGATCTCACACGTCTCTTACAGTCCTCATCTCCTTCCACGGCATCACCATCCAATCACGTGAACTGAAGCCTCGGCCCCAGCTCGGACTCTCACTCTTCACCGTTTTCCCTTCCTGGTGTTCCTAACACACATATGTACTGGATCACCAGCATCTTTTGATTTTACCTTCTGTCTCTGTCACCTGTTTCCTCTTTGCTCTTTCCGCCACCATAGTGAAAGCCGTCATCCTCTCTCATTTTTATTATTGCAGGGACCATTCATTGGCCTCTCCTAGCTCAGCTCCATCCTCTAAGCCCTTAAGTGAATGACCTCACCCATCTCCCGCTTATAAACCAGCTGCAACTCTCTTCTGCCTGCAGGGCACCATCCTAACTACACAGCCTGGTCTGCAAGGCTCTTAGGGACCGGTTCTTGGCTACAGTTTGTCCCCTTCCAGCCCTTCTCCAGTCATACTCCTCCAGGTGAACTAGGATCCAGGCCACTGGAGCCACATTCTCTCACACCGACTGGGAGTTCCTGAAGGGGAGTACTTACTTTCTTCGCTGATTCCGCACATCCGAGTTCACTGTACCTACACTCTTGGCTATAGGCTTTTTAAAGAAATATGGTCCCCGACATTTTCAGGCACTTTACAATAATCTCTCATCCTCTCAACAGCTCTACAGGGGCACAGCACTAGCGCCTCCGTTTACCAGGGAAGAGGCAGACTCCACGCAGCCAAGGAGCCCGAGAGTTGACTGCTAAGGAAGTAGTAAGTGAATGAGGGAAACTTTGAGGCCAGGTCAGGCCGACTCTAAACCCCGTGCTAGAATAAGTCTAGAATAAGCTGACGCCAACCCTGAAAGTCTCCCTGACTACATATCGCCTTTGAGGGAACAGCTGAGAAGCAATGTCATTGCTTAGGACTCCTGCAGGTGCAGCGCACAGGACGCACAGATGGGGGTCACTTAGGGAGGTGGCAAAGCACGTGCTTCCAGCCGCACTTCCACTACATTCCAGCACCCCATGAGTGGAAATGCATGTGTGCCCCACCCAAACGCCAAACTTTTCACACTCCCACCGAACCCCAAAACGGTGCCCTTTGAGAAGGGAGTCTAAAATCTTAAGCAGTCCTTCTGGGGTAGGTCTAGAATGAGCCTGAACACTGCTTCTAACTTAATGGTTTGGACAGAATGCTCAGAGCTGGTCAATCCTTGAAAAGGGAGAATCCAAGCTCTGTCCACCTGAATCTGATTTCATTAAACAATTGATACCATCCAACATATTTGTTCCTACTATCTAATGCACACACACACACACACACTCTCACACTCACACACTCAACTATAGCCAAGGGGAAAATTGCTTCAATAATTATCCATTATGTAAATATGTACCTTGTTTCCTTATTACTTTTGTAATGTGATCCCAAAAGTTCCAGCCTAAGAACACTGAATCAAGTTTCAATTCCGTCTCTGCCAATAGCTGCCTGTGTGACTCTGCAAATCCATTTCCATTTTCTCTTCTTTTAAGCCAACAGATTCTAGCAATTGATCTATAAGCAGTCCTTGTGCATTCCAATATTCAGAAACTATGCTTACTTCTACAATGTTTTTTGTTAGGTTAAGACTATTTATCCTAACTCGGAGGGAACCTAAACATGATCATTTTCATAAGTATTTTTTTGTTGTTGTTGTTTTTAATCCTCACCCGAGGACATTTTTCCATTTTCTGTTCAGATAGAGTGGGAGGGAGAGAGAGAAAGAGAAGCATCGACGTGCAAGGGACGCATTGAGTGGTCACCACCTGCATGACCCAACCAGGGCCAGGGACAAACTGCAACCGAGACACGTGCCCTTAGCATGAACTGAACCCGTGTCTCTCTGGACCACAGGCCGATGCTCTAACCACTGAGCAAACAGCCAGGGCCATAAATAGTTTTTTAAACGGTAGTCATAATGATGAACGGGGAGTTAATTCCAAAAATATTTTAGAAAAACAAAACAAAAAGGATGGTATCAATGCATTTAAACACATGCTAAAATAGTCAGGCCATTCACATATATCCAGGCCAGAATCACCCAGATGGCACAATAAAAAAATGGAATAGCTAAGGAGATCCTACACGAACATTGTCTCATGCTCACGCACAAGTGTAAAAATGACTCTCAGCCCTATCGAAGTGTTATTGGAATGCCATCACGTGCAGGAAGCAATACAAACATAAAAACCCAGGGTAATTATACAGTCAGTATCACTGGTAAAACTAAGTGACAAGGAAAACACCCGTTATGTGTTGTCATAGCTGATACGTGCATCCAGTAGATGACTGCTAGGCTGTCTGGAAGTCTTGTTTATATCAGCTGGACTTCACAGGACATGACAGCCACTGGGTGCCCCAGAAAACGTCAGATGATCTATGGCATATATGCCACATAAATGCCTGTTGAGTGATTATTATGTGAAAACACTATAAAAAGTAACTATCTAAAGCATCTTTAAGACTCGTAAGACTGATTTTCCATCCCCAAAATGAAACGGGAAATTCAGAAAGATGACTGGAGAGGTTTATTTTCAATCTTGGTGGTGCTCACAGTCAGAGAAAACATTCCCACCCGAATCTCATCAATAAAAACACATGATGGGAAAAGCATTTATGCACAGACACATTCCTGATTGCACAGGGACCCCTTGGTCAAAAACAGCAACCAAGGAACATGGTTAAAGCAAGGAAAACCCTAGTTTAGCACACCTATTGGCTTCCCCAATGTTTTTGTTTTAAGTCGGACAGGATTCCATAGTAGCCCTAGTCTTACTGAAACCCGTCTCTGGAATAGAAAGCCCAGGTGGGGCAGGGGGTGGAGGAGGGAGTTCGGAGGAGGGTCTGGGCAACGTGGACATCCTTGGAGGTGCGTTGAGCCCCACGATCTGCACGAAGGGTAGCGCAGGTTTCCCCCGGAGCCGACTCACCTTGCGTCCTGGAGGTGGCCCGGGCGGCAGGCAGGAGCAGCGACACGCAGAGGCAGCAGCGGAGCCAGAGCGCGGGCATGGCCGGGCCGCGTCCACCGCTGCAGGGTCGCTGCCTGGCGCCTGGCGCGGGCGCTTCTCTCCGCGCTGCGCTGTGCCTTCCTTGTCCTCGACCAGGTGGTTTTATCGACTGCTCTACCTGACTCAGTCCTGACAGGAAGAGAGCTGCGTTGCAGGGAGTGACTCACCTGTGAATAAGGAGGGCCCAGCCCTCGGGAGGCAGGCCAGCAGCACACCGAGCTGTAAAAGCGCTCACCCCAGTCGCGGGCTCCCCCTCCGCGCACCTGGCGGGGCCCAGGGTGTGGTGCAGAGGCTGCGGCCCAGGGATCTTTCTGGAGGAACGTGCCAGCAGCCGCCTCCTCTCCCGGGGTGGTCCAGGGGTGCAGAGGTGGCGAGCAGACCGCCCCTTCCTCAGTCTGGGAGGTTCAGGCTCAAGTGCGCAAACTCAGAAATAAATCGGCAGCCCAGTTCAGCTGTAGTCTGAAAGGCATCACAGAGAGCAGGGCAGCCAAAGGGTTACAAGGGGGTCCCCCTCTTCCTCCGGCCTAGGCCCAACCTCTGTCGGAAGCACAGCAACCCAGTGCCAGCCCACCCACTCTGTTGACACTTCATTCTTTTTCTCACCATCACTGGCCAGGACCAAGGGTTCTTCTCCTGGGTCCCCCTAACTTCCTGATCACCTGGGCTGGCAACTCTTTAAGTCCCCTCTGGACGGATGGGCCTCCCCGTGAAGGCTAGATAGTATCCTAACACTGGTACAGCACTAGCTCGGTCGGGGCAAGACACATGTTCTGAATGAGAAAGAGGATCCAGATGTATTACTGCTTTTACATCTTAGAACTATTTCTCCAGCCATTCTCTATGGGCCCATTAGAACATGTTTGTTGAGACCCACTGTGCTCGGTGAAGGGAGGGATATCTAGAAAACTGGAAATCTTGGTGTCTCCAACATTGTCCGTTTCATGTCCCTTCTCCCTCTGCTCCTTGTATTTCCGCCCAACGGTGCTGTCCCACAGTCCAGCAGGACCAAGGAACAGAGCCCGCCCAAAATAATCTTGAAGGTAAATTTCATTCTAGCCCAGGTTACTATTGTTCATTATATCTCAGAAGGTGGAACAGATATTTACATCCATCATCATTTTTGGGTAGTGATAATAGCTAACACATATATTATACCTACTATTTGTCATCACTGTTGTAAATCCTTTATACATAATAACCCTTTAGCCTTCAAAACAACACTATGAAATAAGTATACTATCAATTTCCCCTTTTTACAGATGATAAAACAGAGGCTTGGAAAGATCACATAACATGCTCGAAGTCCCACTGCTATTAAGGGGCAAAGCCAAGATTCAAAACCTAGTTCCAGAGTCCATAAACTCTTTGTTAGGTCAGATTATAAAGCACCATAAAAAAAAAAACACACAAATTCACAATATTAAATGAATTCAATATGCAATCAATGGTTACTTGTCAACATCCATTACAACCCAAGCAGGTTGTGGACTATTGGCCCACGACAATAAAGACAAGTCACAATGAACTCTGAACAAAGATTTCTGACTTTCCTAACATGGTATCTCTGAAAGAACCCCCAGAGGTCACCTGGACCCGGGTTAGAAAAATGGGCAGCAGGCCTCTGGGCACCAGGCCAACCAGCAGCCTCTTTTATGTAAAGAGGATGCTCCGGTGTTTCTCAGTTTCCACCTCTTCTCATTGCCTTATCCTGGGCTTCTTCATACCTCTAAACAACCCGTCTGGCTCAGGCTTGTAATCTCTGCTTTGGCTTAATCTCCTGCCTTGCTCAGGGACAATATCAAGCCCCTTTGCCAATTTGAAATTTTTTCTCTAGGGCACTGCTGGGGTTAAGAGTACTCTAGTGGTCAAAAGTCAAGGCTCTGGAGCAGAATCTTAGGGCCAAATCCTGGCTTCACCTCTCATCAATGCAGGTTACTTCGTTTTCTCTGAGCCTCAGTTTCTTCATCTGTAAAATGGGAATAATAATAGAACACTCACCTGGAAAAGTTGTTGGGAAAATTAAATGAGTTACTGACCTATCTAGTACTCAGAGCAGCACCAGACATATAACATGCACTATGTAAGTAAGCTATAATAATAATATTATTGTTGTTGTTGTTGCTCTGATTTTCACTAAGCATCATCAGTTTTTCCTTGTTATAATTACTAACAAATATCGTATGAGAAACATGGGAGTTTTTTTTTTTTTTTTGCTTTAGCCTTTCTACTAATTGATTACTCAATCATACTTTTAAACTTCTTAACCTAATCCAGGTTTATGTCCTAATTACCAACATTTGCCTGGATGTTGGTCATTAATTTGTGTTTTGCTACATATCTGGCAATTTCCTTGACATTCAAATTTGTCTGACAAATGGCTCAAAATGTGTGCAATTGCAACTTCATTTTAAATATGGCAGGTAGGAGTTTCTTTCAGGAAAACTGAAGTTCAGGTGGAGTTAAATATATTCTTATGATCAACTTCAATGAAGCCATGATTTTCAAAAGGGCAACAAAAATCGGTTTGCTTTTCCACAGGACCCAAATAAATCTTTTTTTTTTCAAATCCAAACAAAAGTCAATTTATGTACCTGTGGAAATGGTTACGATGGTAAATTTTATGTTCTATGTATTTTAACACAATAAAAAATGTGGAAAAACACACCTTGACACTACTCAGCAATAAAAAAAAGAATGAACTACTGATACAGGACATGGATGAATTTGAAAGCATTGTACTAAGTGAAAGAAGCCAGACGTACAAAAAACCAGCTTCTATATGATTCTATTTACATGAAATTCTAGAAGAGGTGAATTTCAGATCAGTGGTGACCAGAGACAGGGAACTGACTGCAATAGGGCATGAGGATAATTTGGGGGATGAAAGAAATATCCTGAAATATGACAGTGGTCACCCAGCCGGTGTAGCTCAGTGGGTGAGCATCGACCCATGCACCAAGAGGTTGCTGGTTCGATTCCTGGTCAGGGCACACGCCCAGGTTGTGGGCCTGATCCTCAGTGAGGGGAATGCAGGAGGCGGCCAGTTGATGTTCTCTCTCATTGGTGTTTCTATCTCTCTCCCTCTCCCTTCCTCTCTCTCTAAAAATCAATAAAGAGCCCTGGCCGGTTTGGCTCAGCGGTTAGAGCGTCCGCCTGCGGTCCGGAGAGACCCGGGTTCGGTTCCCGCTAAGGGCATGTACCTCGGTTGCAGTTTGTCCCTGGCCCTGGTTGGTCGTGTGGGTGGCAGCCACTCGATGTGTCCCTTTCACATCGATGTTTCCCTCTCTCTCTCTTCCTCTCTCTCCCTCCCACTCTATCTGTACAAAAATAAAATAAAATAAAATAAAATAAAATAAAATAAAAATCAATAAAGAAAAAAAAAATTAAAAAGAAAGAAATATGACAGTGGCCAAAAAGAATCAAACTGTACACTTAAAATAGGTAAATTTGATTGCATATAATTATACCTCAATGAAACTGTACAAAATAATAAGAGAAAAAGCTCAAAAAAGCCTACTTGATAATTAAGATGATACCTTAATTTAAATGTGCAAACTCAAACCCAGAACCAGAAACTGCGCCTGCGTAAGCCGTGACATCCCAGCACGGCACAGAGCGTGTCCAGTCCTGAAAATCACGGCTCTGACATGCCATCTCGGGCCTTCAGGCAGCAATACCACCCACGAATTGTAGGGGGACCCCTCTTCTGGAAACCTGTCTGTTTTGGCAATTTACAAAGTGAATGAGATGCTTTTATTAGATGTGTTGTTAGGATCGTGAACATCAAACCTGTCTTGGAATTTTGTTCTAGGAAGTCAGCACTCAGATCTTCCTCTTATCTGCCCCCAAGTTGTCACATTTATCTAGTATAAGCCCCGTATCAATGGGGACAATGTCCTATGCAGAAGTTCTCCAGTCCTTGCACACTGAAGGTCCTGAGGCATTTCCGTGGGGTGGGGCGGGGACTGAGGCCCTCCCTGGAAGTCCCCTCTGTCCCTTGTTTCATTTTGCAGCTCAGCCCCTCCCCCAGCTCCCCAAAGGGACTTTCCTTTTCACGGTGCTGTGTAAGTGACTTCCCATCTCTGCACCCCGACCTCCCAAACAGAATGCAAGCCACGGGCTGATTTCTGCCTGGAGTTCCACCATTACCTTAGTTCACTTTCAGAAGGAATGTCTGGCATGTCACCCGCTTTCAAACTCACTTATGATAAAACCTGAAGCACCGGCTGTTGGCATGCCAGCCACAGACCCAGTCCCCTGTCCTTAATCTGCCCAGACAGTGCTCATGACGTCAGCTTTCGCATAAAATTGTTAAGTGTAAAAATAAAGCAGTAGGGGTGGGGAACAGTTCCCCTTGTTCTTAATTGTAAAGGAAAATGTCCATAAATGGGAACCTCGTGTTTCCTGGATGTCGGGTGAATTCTCAGAGGTTGGCCAGACCCCAGGGAACTAAGCCGGCGCCCTGGCCGGAGTGGCTTCCGTTATGCAGACCTGTGTGTGGCCTCCCACAGCTGGCCCTCGGGGAGCCGGGCGGCCAGACCCCAACCCAGTCATGCCTTTGACTGTTTAAGGGGGGATGACCCTTTTTCTGCGGTTGCCTGGGAGTACACTTGGGCCAGGAATTGGTGACAAATCACAGCTAGGCACAAAGAGTGACTTCGTTTGCCTCTATTTTGGTGTCATTACTACAGACAGAAGTTTTCTGACCATGTCTTCGTTTACCAATACAACAGAGAGAGGGGGCCAGAGAGGAGAGGGCACGTGCTCAGAAAAAGACAGAAACACACACACACGCACACACACACACACACACACACACACACACAAGAGAGTGAAAGATTCTGAGGGGCAACTTCTGTAGATGGAGGGGTGTGCCGTCGTGTTCCTTTAGACTGAAATGGTGCCATCCACTCCCGTGGGAAATGTCATCAGTAGATTCAACACTGCCCGTGGCCCCTCGGCCACTTTAATACTTGGACCAGAGATTTTCAGATGTGAACGAGAGGTCACCGGATTTGAAGGTGCCCACTCAGCGAAAATTCCTCCCTGGGTTTCATTGCTGAGGGTCAGGGCTGCAGATGTGACAGCCAGCTGGAAGTGACAGG